TTGCTCTGTGTTCCTAATGGACAATCTGTCCTTGCACTAAAGTGTGCGTTGTATGTTGTTTACTTAGTTTCCTATCAGGACATGAGAGGCACAGCCTCATGTATCCTGTTGTCCATTAGCAGTAAGGTCCCCGCTCTCCTGCTGCTTGCTGTTGAGCGAGGCTGAGACAAAGGGATCTGGAGAGACTTGCCTGCGGCCATGCAGGTCACTGGCCAATCCTTCACTTCACCCAAGGATTTCCTGCTTCTTTGTGTGCAGCCAGCAGGCTGCACTGCTTCCTGTATATTGTGTGAGCTTGAGCGGAACCAGATTTCTCCTACATAAAGTTTCATTTATAAGTTATACATAAGTTATACATATTCACTGTGGGTTTTGATAACATTTGCCTATACTTGTATACCCATATCTTTCATTCTGTGTTTTTTCTGCACAAATTTATATATATGTAGGGTATGCACTATTGTGCAAAAGTCTAAGGCATCTTAAACAATAACATGTACTGTATGTGTTATTAACACAGCTTAATTTGGGTGAGAATATACCACTTGTCATTTATCAATCTTTAATTTCTCAAATTATACATGGAAACCAATCAATCAAGAAACTATTGGTACTTATTGTGCTTTTTTAAATATCTAGGGAAAAATGTTGTGAAAATTGCTCTTGTCCAAAACACTTGCTTTCACCATTGTTGTGGCTGTTAATCAATCCAGCAAAAATGCCACTATTGGTAATGAAGAGCAATTCTCAGACCTGATAAGGGAGTACTTAAAAATATTATGTGTGAAAATGAAAACTAATTATATTTTTAAAATCTAAAATTATAACAAAACGTTTTCTGTAATTTTGTTATTGCTTGTTAATCTTTTTCTGCTCCTATGAAACTTTCCACTATGAACTAGCCTCTTTAAAGTGTGTGCATGTGTATTTTGCACTGTTCTGATTTGTGGTGAAGCAAGTTTTAAAGGCTCGTTTTGCTTCTCTAAGCACACACCCCACACACTTGCTAGGTTTGACCCCAGGTCACAGTAAAGTGACTCAGAGGCTCGTTTAACTGGGCCTCTTGAAGCCCAGCCTTTACATTCCATTGCTTCGTGAAGAGGCAGCTTTGCTTATTATGAGCGAGAGGGAGGAAGTTTCTGGCGGCTGGGATTATGCGCACAGTTTCCTTGCCCAGAAGCTTTGCCTTTACCCCTCCCACTCTTATACCAGCGCTTCCATAAACTACATTTAAGGCTGAAAAACTCATGTCTCCAGGTAGCCAGACGGCATTCTAAGCCCAGCTCTTTTAGTTTTGTTTTTTCTTTTGTTTTATATCTGGATAACTCTTTTGGTTGCTTTTGCGTCGTGCTGAAGGGGATTAGTGGACCTGATTGGAGTGTAGCACACTGAAAGTGCACAGCTGCACAATGCAGAAGCCGGCTCACAGGCTGACAGGCAATTAAAGCAGCTCTCTTGGGGGGCCTCAGTTTGGCAGCTCCAAGTAACTGCTTGGTACATTAGGAAGCTCTCCCGAAACTTAAAATGGAATGGATCAGGAAAAAAGAACATTTTACACTTTGGGCATACAACTGTTGCTCTGTATGGTGAGTACACTCCTCCTTCCAGATGATCTGGAAAATTAATTACTTTCTTTAAACTTGCACATGTGCATCTTTGAATATATGTTTGCTTGTATGATGAGAAGAAAGAATGGTTTCCCACTATTTATGTTATTCATTAGGTTCTCGACTCCTTAACCTTCTTTACTCACACTGGTTCACAAAGTGCACTTTTTGCTCAATGTCTAGCCCTCAGGATCCTTTCTCACTCCCCCTCTACGGAGGCACTGGTTCTTGCCGCCTTATCTTCTGGTGTGTGCTGCAGGGTCACTATGAAAAGAAGGCTTTGTGCTTGAATTCCAGGCGAGCTGGAGGGTCATGGCCTAGAGGATGACTGTGTGTTCACATAGAATCCCTTGAGTTTCTGTTCAGAAAAAAAAAATCTGAACTTTGCTGATTGTATTTGGCTTACTTTTTTCCTTTTTGGTTTAATGTAACTGCACATTTTTTTTAACACATGCATTTATGGAAACTGGTAAATGCAGTGTTGTAAGATTTTGCAAACTTTAAAAACTAGCAATGCAAATTGATATGGTGCAGTGAGAGCTTAAAGCACAAATCAAATCCAAGACACTATAACTCCAACAATATGAAATTGATCAAGTAATAGTTAAAAAAAGTTAGAAGTCTTACATTCCGATACACTCCAAAAATAAATTACTGACAAAAATAAATGTCTTTAAACTGTGCTAAAGCCTGTACAAATACTGGAAGTATATTGGGTCTTTTAGAAAAAAGTTACCTAATTTTTGGTGCACTGCTTAAGCTTTTTTGTTTTGTATTCATGTCATCTAACTTTCAGGATTTTTAAAAGAAGTTTATGGAAATATTCCAATCTGAAATGGCTTGTTTATTATTAATGGGTTTATGTTTTTCCAATGTTTACGATTATAACAAAAGTTAGTCAAGTAGTGCTGCATATTGTTAAATTGAAGGGCTATAGAAAACTAATGTGATCAACTGAACACACTGATGATTACTTAAAACATTCCAAAGTGAATATTTGATTGAATATAAAATTATGCCAGAACAGCAAGCCACACAGTGAACCGTGCAGGAGAGGTGGCCTGGGTTCATGTCAAAGTCCAGTTATTTTGTGACTATCACGGCTTCCTGTGATGTAAACAACCTTCGAAATGAGAGCAGCATTTCCACTTTCACGTTATTTGCCGTTATTCCTGGGTGAGAATGGTGGTGCAACAAAGGTAAGCTTGAGTACAAGGTGGTGGAAAGATACCAACAGAATGCGAACAGAAATACACAGTGACAATATTACAAATGAAAAACCGTTCTTGGGAAAACAAGCAAAATAAGATATGAACAGAAGTACTGTTGTCTTGAGGATAGGACGCTATTTCAGGAATCAAGTATTTTTGTAGCAGGATGTTTAATGTATAACAAACAGAATAAAAGCAAAATGAGGAAAATATATTAAAACTAAGGAATGAGGGATTTAATAAAAACGAACACAATTCATATTATTTATATTTACATTTCCTGACCACAAAGTTTTAGTCAAGGGGCAGTAGTTTTTAATGGCATCAGAGCTAATGCTCTACTGTTGTGGTTTCTGTCTATTTTAGTTTGATCTGGTTCTTGCAGATGCTTAAATGACATTACACAATAGAGTGATTGTATTTCCCATAAAGTTTAGAATATTTTTTGTTCACAAATATTTTAATATAAATGACCTACTAAGGTTAGAAAAATAAATACAATCTCTTGGAATTACACAAAACTACTTTATATTCATATTTGAATGAAAGTTTGCTAGAATTGTTAATTCTGAGTTGGCTGCTTCCAGTCAAGGCAGAATATCACGAATATCTGTCCCATTGCAGGTTGTTTTAATAACACATGAGGCTGTGGCCTACCTGAGCTGTGCCTCCCCATTCGGACAGGTTAGGCTACTCCAGACAGGTGTTGCTCTGGCTGCGTCCCAGTAATGCATTTTGGCATTTTGTTATTATCTTTGGATGTACGCTCTTTATTAATCTGGTTTATTAATCTGCTTTGCTCCATCATGTAATAGAAAAAAAAACTTGTGCCTTTTAAAAACTCTACACGTGTTCAAAATATAATTTTGACCAAACTGAAGTGGGAGAAGAATTGTTTCAGATAATGATGATGATGCAACTCATTAATGGTCAGCCACTTCCATATTATCAAATTAGTCACTGAAAGAAATTAAAACATTTTATTTTCTCATCAAAATTCTGTGCAGTGATAACATTTTGAATGTTTCTGAGGATGTTAATTTATCCATTTCAGTGTTGCCTGGGTTAAAGCTCAAGGAAAGGCAGAATCAATCTGTTCACAATATGTGTAGAGGAATTCAAGTGCATTTGTTTTCTATTTGCCCCACTATGGAATAGTTTACTATTGAAGTATAAAATAATTCTTTAAAGGTGTTCCGACTTCAACAGAGCTCTTAATTTTACCTGGAGATTTTAGTAGTTTTTAAAACCCAAAATATTATGTTGTGATATTTGTCTCAATCTTCTTGCAAATTTTTTACATATTCACATATAGAGGGCAGTTACATCACTGTCTTTCTAAAAATGAGAATTATATATATTTTCTAAAAAGTATGTTTAATGCATTGACGTCTAACTCTCTGTCCAGCTAAAAAATCTTGAAAGATTCAAAATATTCTACAATTACAATGAAATAATCAAGTTAAATATTTTGTAATGGGTAGCAGCTGTTTCACACAACACTGGAAAAGTTCTTGGATGTCATATTTTTATAAACAGAAGTTCCGTACATATTGTGGAGTTTATTTACTGCAGTACTTTTGATGTATTTGCTGTGTTTTCAGTCCAATCCCCTCAGTGGCGTTTTGGTCAGGAAAAGCTGGTATTTTTAGATTTGCACCGGGGAAATCTTAACAGGAATTTGCAAGAGACTTGTCGTGGCAACCTGGGATGCTACAGATTCTGATTAAGAACGAAATAATACTTCCTATTAACAAGACTTCCTTTCTGTTTCCAGCAGGGTGTGGTCTGTCAAACCCTTTGCATGCAGGTGACAAGGGTCTCCATTACTGATAGTGCTTAAAGTGCAAAGTGTTTGTGGACAATGTTATCTTTTCTTCCCTTCACTGAGTATTGGTAAAGGGGTTAAGCAGCTTATACAAGTAGCCAGAGCTGAACCATGGTTTATATTTTGATAACCTCACTCTCACTCCAAGAACATTCTTTAAATCTACCAGGACCCATTCTCTAAGACGCATTGTGCATATTATTTTTCTGAGAAGAGAAGAAAAGCACCTTGGTTCTATTCAGCATATTCAATATACACAGATTTCACTTTGAATTCCCTCAGTAAAGAGTGATTGGAAATTTGGAGTAGAACAATGGCTAAATTGCTATTTCATGGATCATTTTAGCAACTTACCATCATTTAAACTTTCATGACCCTCAGAAGGAAGAGGGTGTACAGCATGGTGTTTTGCTTGCATTTCCCCTAAATAAAATGGAATGGTTTAATCAGAGATTTCTGAGTTTAAAAATGTCTCTTACTTACACTGCAGAGCTGTAACGTAGAGCTGTTCATAGTCTTGTAGGCTGTAAATTATTTGTCTTGTTAACATTTGCAGGGGATAGAAGGAAAACCACAATTAGCTATGGTCTTTTATGGGCTGCCAGCTACCAGGTGTTTTCTAGAAGTTGGCATTTTTGTCTGGTTTGAAGGAAAAGGGAACTGTGTGCTTCTTGAAAATGATTTGCCATTTCGACAAAGCTGATTTTACTAAGAGACACCCACAACCAGGGTCAGTAGATTCAGAAGTGTGAACCCTCAGTCCACCTTGTGGGAGCCAATTCTCTTGGTCCTTCCGAAAATGGCTTGATGAAGTTTTTGGAACATCAGATAGTTTGGTAGATAAATAAAATAAAATGAATATTTAATTTGTTTACATTTGTGTATCTATTTCTCAAAACATCTGACTAATATTTTCAATGGAAATACAAGTAAAGCGTGGCACATTAATGCTGCTGTACTAAAAACTTAAGAGATTTGTTCTTTGAGAAAACAATCAAATATGCATCAGGTTAATTTGAATTATGATTTAAACCTTGAGTCAGAAAGCTGGTCCATTAAAACTCTCATCATGCAAAGTGCACCCTATAAACAGCTTTCTTTCTCAATTCTTAACTCCAAACCTAACTCCGCTTAGAGTCCTAACTAATACTTTTAAAACGTTTTCCCAACTAAACAGGAATTTTGATTAATTCCAAACCTACTAAATAATAGTTTATAATTATTTTACTCACTCCTCCCACTCTCCAAAAGAGATATCCTTCCTCTGTCTTCTCCTTACCCCTGTCTACAGGTGTAATCACTTGAGGCCTGTCGTTTTTATGGGTTTTCAGTCTGTTACTACTTCATATTAGTATTATTACTTTATTATTACTTCCATTAGTACTACTTAGTATTATTACTATTGTTACTTTAATAATACATGTAAACATTCACAATGCCCCTTTTCCCAGAAAAAAAAAACAGTTTCATGGAATTTACAACTTCCTCAGATTTTACTAAACTTAATTTAGATCTTACTTAACCCATTGTATCTCTAGTTTAACCAACTTCTTCAGGGCTAATAATTGCAAGTTTAAAATGCTGTTAAAATGCTACAGGTCAAACACATTAGTTGTAGTAGCAGTAGTAGTAGTAACTAATAGTATCAATATTATTATTAGTAACACCCCTTCTTTTTTCAATTTTTAATGACCACAGAGAGTCAGGAGCTCAGTTTTACACCTCATCTGAAGGACTATATTTTTACAGTCTAGTGTCCCAGTCCCTATAGTGGGGCATTAGGACCCACACAGACCACAGGGTGAGCACCCCCTACTGGACCCACTAACACCTCTTCCAGAAGCAACTTCACTTTTCCCAGGTCTTCCATCCAGGTAATGTGATACATCATTAGAAATGTTAATGTAATATTGAAAGCAAAGGAATTCATACAGCTATGAGAAGACTACAGAAAAATAATTTTGATCTTTATTTATTAGCCATTCAAATGAAATTAGCTGTTTTTATTATTCCATCTGACTTATGAACTTGGCCTACTCTTAGAAGTAGAAGGTGAATAATGAGAAGATCTATAATTTATTTTCTGGTTGCATGAAGGAAAACTAAAGGGTCTGTGCTGTAGAAATTAAATATTTTAAAGATTTCCATAAAACCTGTAAGTTAAATTTGCTGTGTACTGAGTCCTTTTGTAATTGGAAGTAAGAAGACAAACTAATAATTATTCTAAAATTATTCTTATCCTAAAAACATGTTTAATCTCTTCACAGTGGGTCATGGGTAATCTTTGTTCATATAATATCTAATTTAATCACATACAACTTTTCTTCAGGACTTTAGATAAACTAATATTGACAAACTTTAAAAAGCAATCCTACATTTTAAATCTTAAAGCTGGAAATGGGTTTTAATGTAATAAACTGAGAAACATCCCCATCGACTCCATCGTAGACCCCTCCCACCACGAGTGTTAATTCACTTCAAATGCTACACTTTCCATTTCCAAAACAACATTTTAAAAATAATTTATCAAAATATCACAAATGCACGTGATCTCCATTCTCCTCTTAACACAATCATTATTACAACAAAGAAACTATTTCGTAATAAACAAAGCATAATGCCGACAACAACACTTCAGACAGAAACTGCACAACGAGAGTATTACAAATATTTTGACGAGCAAAATCAAAACACAACATTCCGAACCGTACATCACAACAAACGGGACAACATTATCTTTTCAGCAGTGTTTCGTATCCAGATACAAAAGTATAAAGCAAATCGTTTTTGAAGGTATATCTAGCGTTTAATTTTAGAAAATAATCGATTCTCCAGCAAAAAAATCACCAAAAGACATGAGATCCTTACCTTTGAAAAAGTAACCCTTGCAGACTTAAACTTTCCCATGTAAACCCATGTGGAAAATATGGTAAACAAAAAAGAAATGGCTACCGAAGGTCCCCATAAGTTTTCAAACCGACCGGGCTACCGAAAAGCTGATGTAATAAGAAGAAACAGCTGTCATTCATCAAAATCTGACCATTTAGAGACGTTTTAGGGAGGGCTTTAGCGAAGAGAGAGTTTTTAGGTGTCCTTGTATTGCCTAGTCTTTTCCATTTAGTTTTTATTCTATCAAGAAATTTGAAGATCACATACTGTACTGTAGCCTCCTGTCAATCTGTCATAAATACACACCAAAAGTGTGCAAAAACATTTTTTTCTCCAAAAACTTTATATGTGGGGTCTCAGACAGAAGTCAATACAACAGCAAAAGACAATGAAAAAATTAAGTTTATATCGATTTGTGCTATTTATTTCACATCTCCAAGAAGGAGGAGAAAATCATTCCAGGATCAGCCATCATAAATATCCATTTCAATTTTGTATTGCTTGTTAAATCACTCTCAGCTTTTATGCTAGTTAGAAGACGCATTAGAGAAGACCTGGAAAGAGAAATGTTCAACCTAGGTGTTTCACAACTTGAGATATCGCCTTTTGAAGAAGGACAATAAAATGTTTTCCTGTTTTTGTTTCTGATATTTATTTCTAGTGTGTTTACTAAGTAAAACATAATCAAAATATCAAAGTTCAGAAAGGATCTCCAGGTTGTTCTCTTTAATTCAAGACTCTAACCAAGTCTGTGCTGTTTATTTTTTTCAAGATAAATCAAAATATTAAAGAGTACACCCATTTCAGGAGGTCATTGACCTTGACCTCTATTTTAGGGGTGGGGGTGGAAAGGGTTCATCACAAAAGATTGTCTCAATGTCTCAACTGTTGTCCTAACAGGGAAATGTTTTAGATACAGTGTACAGTTATTTGTGTGAGTTACCAACCAGAGCTTTGTGGGAAACAACCTGGACCAAGAAAAATACTATCATACAACCAAGCCTAACCAACTGGAACACTCATATTATTGAGCCCTAAAGAGACAATACACACCAGTCAAATATCTGATCGGGGTGAGAAATAACAAGAAGAAACAGACCCTGATGAAGTACAGGCGCAGAGACCACAGCCTGGCCACAGAAACTGGGTAACACAGGTAGACCTGGTTGCCCAGAGAGGACAGACTCAGGGACCACAGCTTGGCCATAGAAACTGTGTGACACAGGCAGACCTGACCACCCCAGAAAAGACAAGCTTAGTGGCCACAGCATAGACATAGAAAATGGACACAGGCAGACCTGACTGCAATTTCAAGATGCAAGAAATCTGGGATTCAATAAACATTCTGCCTAAAATAATTATTCTAATCCCAGGATTCTCACACCTGTCATGATCAGAACAACTTCCAGAAGTACTGGGGGGATGAGGGAGCCCAGTTTGTGACTTCATATTGAGGAACAGAGAGTGAGTCTTTCAAATTGCAATAATAATATGTTTTTTGTTGTAAATGTCTTGTTAATTGTTGTTGCTTGGTCAACACTGTAATTCATTGGTCATGCCAATGAGGCTCATTGAATTTAAAATTGGAAAGCAGTGCAGTGCAAAGGGGGAGGGATGTGTGGCGGGATCTTGTACACTCAAGACAATAACTAACGATACACTTAGACAAAGGTTCCACAGACAACTGATACAGGAGTCATAAGAACTTGGTGGTTGAATTAGTGACAGAATTATACCATTATGAACATGAAGAAAATGTATATTTTTGTATTATATAAGAAAGACATATTCTGTCTTCACAAGGTAATTCTGTAGACTGTTTGTATTTCAGACCCATGCTGGAGTTAATACATTGTCATAATGTTTTGTTCAAAACAAAATGTTGTTGGACTAATGTATATTCACACCAAACAGCTAACATTTCCCTTAGTTGTGGTGACTTCCAGGTAGAGGTATTTTCAACAGGTAGGAGAGAACATTGGATTTGAAAATGAATTTAATCTTGAGTTGCCCTTATTAAGGTGTCTTGGTGGAGTTGGAATTTAAGAAAAGTTCAAATGAGAGAAGGCCATATGGCCCATGTGGCTTTTGGTTGCAATAAGCTAATTGATCCAGTGATCTCATCTAGCTGTTTTTTTAAAGATGTCAGGGTATCAGCTTCTACGTCATGGGTTGAAATGCTATGACAAGACCTATTTAGCTGCAGTGAAGCACTTAGCGTCAGTTTTTTGTACTTATTTAAGCAGATGAATATATTGAGGAGAGAGTCTATCAGTATGAAGTTATTTATATAACAAAGGATTTCATATCTCTGCAATGGGCTGGCATCCCACCCAGGGTGTTTCCCTCCTTGTGTCTGTTCTTGCAGGGATAGACTCCCTCTTGACCCCAAATTGGATGAAGTGGTTAGAAAAAGGGTGAATGGATTAAATAACAAATCATGCACATACTGGATTTTAACATTTGTTTTTATTAGCTTTTGGCTGGCTATGTTTCAATAAATGTAGCATTTGAAGCATAAGGTTAATTTTTGTATCTTTGATCCTTATATGAATACTGTAACTGAAAGAATTTAGATTTTCCAGAAGCAAAGCCTTAAAGCATTACAGTTTTTTAATGTCAAACATTATTGATTTTCACAATATAATACAATAATAGTTCAGGTGGGTAGCTGCGTCAGCATGCGTAGGCTGCAAAGGAACAAGTAATAGGTTTATTCCATGCTGAAAAAAAGAAGAAAGAGAAAACATCGTTTCGGCCGTGGAGCCTTCTTCAGGTGTGAGAGGGTAATACGATAATACTTTGTCTGATTTCTCAGGAAGTTGTTTATCTTCAGAGCAGCTTTTTTATTTCTAAAACAGACAAACAGTACAAATATACATTTTAAATTAAGAATATAACATTACTTAAAAGACATCAACCCCTACATAATTATTAAACACCACTCCTGGAGGAAGCCTACTGACTGCAGCAGTTAGCCAAAGAAATAAAGTGCTCTAGAGTGAAACGTGTTACCAGTGTGATGCCCAAAGATAAGCTTCAGTATAGAAAAACATCTACAGTAAGTTGTGAATTAAGAAGCATTTTTAACAATGCTTTGCTATTTCTTAAACTCTCTTGTTAGTTCATCAAACTTAAATATTTGAGCTTCAAGAAATTTGATATGTGATAGAAAAATGAAATATTTACAATTGTTAACATTTTTTTGCAAAAGTGAACTGCTTCAACAAAACTATGATGTTCTTATATAGTTTTATTTTTATGAATTTGGAAAAAATGCATTATGTAGCCAGACAGAGGCTCAATTCATGGCAGACTGATTGTCTATCTTTGTAACATAGGATTCATCTTTTATCATTGAGCTTTACAAGTGTCCTGCATTAAGCTGGAACATATCTGGCACAACAAAGTGCTAACAGAAGAGTGGTAACCAGTAATGGTAAAAATTGGATTTTGCCATTCTATTTTCAAACAAAAAGAGAAAGTCAAAGAAGCTATTACTTATACCAGTCATGAAAGGGTCATCTGTGCAAAAGGAAACAGAGAAAATATTTGTCATGTAAATAATCAAAAGGAAAATTCTACATTATTTTACATTTTTACATTACAAGCAGTCTTCTAAGTCTAGGTTTCTGAGGTTAATTTGGTGGCCTTTTTTCCATTTGGCCTCCAGAATGCATCAGGGCGGGTTCTGGCCTGAGAGGCTGGTTGATGACTGTGGCTCCCCAGGATCCATCTGTATGCATCCAGGCCCACAGTGACTGGCTCGGGGTGGCTGGAGGCGCATGAGGATGTGTGTATCACGGGAGGACAATGAGAACTGTGTGGGAACATCCTGACATTTCTTAGCTTAGTCTCATGACTGTAAGATATGACAATTTGTAAACATTTGTTGAAAGAGTAGTAACATAATGACTTTGACAGAACTTTAAAAACTAAAACTTTGTTAGAATTCTCTCTATTACCGAATTTAAACAGCAAAGTAAAAAAAAATATTTACATCATAATAAAGACGTTTTACAGAACGGTGAAATACATGGTGCTGATGTGACTAGAAGAGAAGCACACAGATGCACAAAAACGCTTTACTAATACGAAAGAGCTAAGATTACAAGACAAGGTAATAGAGTTTCTTTCATGGTCTTGTGTATATTCTTTGTTAGTATGCATGCCCTGATCTTGGCTGTAATAGGCTGCTGGAGAATTAAATGGGGCTTGGTTATTTTACTCTTCAGAATAGCTTGCAGTCTCCAAATGCAAAATTATTGCCTGTGCACCCCTATCATTCCAAAGGCCTTTTAATTACATTCATTCCAAGCACAGAGAGTCTTTAAGAAATGCTTAAATACTTGGAGCCTTTTCAGAGTTCAGCCTCGACAGCTTGGTGTGAACTGGCTGCTTGACATCATCACCCTTTCTTACTAACTTTCCCTAGCTGCATGCAGTGTTTGAGATATTTTTAAGATTTTCTGTCTTGTAAGAAAATATTGATGCTTCATAAACCTTAAAGGGTAAGCTTTAGGCTTCTATCTATCCATTATCAGGAAGACAATTACTCCTGATAAGGGTTGCAGGTGTCTGGGACCTATCAGGGAAGCACACACACAAGGCATAATGACAGCCTGGACAGCTCTCCAGTCCATTGTAGGGCAGACACACGCACAGTGGCCAGTTTAGAGACACCAAGCTAAAATTCAAGACCTAAGGAAACAATGCTAACTCCTCTGTCACCGTGCATAGATGTTTTGTTTCTGAAATAAGTATGAGCATGGCTTTATAAATACAGTAATATAATTAAACAATAAAACACACAATAGTAGCCAGCTTTTTCCCTCACACCTTTGTGAGTTATGCACTAAAAATATGAAATTTGAGCTGAGCATTTACTTCAAAATTATATTCTGACGTCCTTCAAGAAATGGCAGGAACTTTGGATCAATCACATACCAGCATCTTCATAACCACCTAAATATTGTCCCAGTGTTGAAAAATACTGCTTATTCCTTTTCAAAGTTATTGAGCGGATATAAAAAGAAAGGTAATTGATATTTTATTGACAATTTGTTTACATTAAATGTTTTTGTCTCAACTTCCTAAAG